ACGGTCGAGAGTCGACAGTCGCCATGACTCACTCACTGTACGGTCCGGAGACGGTACGGTGTTTTTGTAGCAAGCAGCAAAAATAATTGTAACATGACGTGTTTGAGTTAATGTACCTACTTAATATCGCACGTCCTAAAAAAAAAAATGAACAAAAAAAAAAATTATAAAAAATGTATAAAATCGCACTTCCCTGCGATGTGAATATCGCGCATGCGCATATCGGTTATCGCCATGACACGATATATCGTTCAGCCCTAATTTGAATGCAAGTTTTTTATGTCCGCTTACCAGGGTTAAACTTTTTATGTTATTCGATTTCAGTGGTGGATGCGTTGAATTGTCACTCACATGCATGATCCAAGCCTTTCCTATAACTTCAGATTAATAATTTCAAAAGTCAAATGTATCAAAAAACATAATTCACTGCAGCTGCTTATCATCCATCTAACACCATAAATTACATTTATATAACCAAAATAACTAAACCCCCCTCGCCTATTGTTAAGGGTAAGGACATCATAAAATACATTAAGAAAGATATTCATTCAAAAACCTCTTGGAATGTAAAACAATGACATTCAGTACATCCTTGAGGACATTTTAAAACAACTTTTCCAGATGTTCTTTGTCTTAAGACCAGTGGTATTTTGTTTTTGAATAATTAAATTCTTACCCTCGAGCAGATCTCTGGCCAATCCTGGTTCAGCTCCAGTGGAACGGACAAAGTCGGATAGGACTGCGTCCATATCCACGGTCATGTGATCATGAATTCACCAGGTTGCGGGTTGTATCAAAGCAGAAAAAAAAATAAACAAACACGGACTCCGCTCTTCCTGGCGGGGCAGCAGGGGGAGGGGTGAGGGGGGAGGCACTCCTCTGCCGTGTGCTATTCAATCTGCCACACCTGAGAAGAGAAATGAGATTACATTTAAATAACCTGCAGGTATTAACTCATCAGGAGTGAGTTTAAAATGGATGAAAGAGATGCAACAGTGAATGAAAGACACACTGATATAAATGTTCAAATGCGAGCATGTTGTGACCTGGTTACTTTTGAACTTGACACCTTTTCAGTCATCCAAGGCAACAGCTGTGGCACACAAAGTGAACAGGTCTCACAAACGGTTTGCTTGGATTTGCATTGAAACCTATTAAAAGTCAAACTACACATGCGGGGTAGCTGCTGTCAGGCGCGTGATGTCTGTCATGTGGGAGACGTTACTGTGCGCTTTCCGTAATTATCCTGTTTTTGTGAACACTACCTTTTATAATTAGCTGTTATAAATTCAGAAAATCTGTCACAATACGAGTTGAGGCAATACATTGCTTCAACTCGTTTATTTTCTTTCAAATTTATACTCGAGACCAAAGTTCATGATTGCCGTCTTCAGATATGAACTGTTGAATATGTAAACAGACAAGAGTTTCATTCTGCCAGAGAAACAGGTCATGAAGGGTCTGAGCAGTTGAAGCACTTTAACCATGTGCTAAGAGAAAGCAAGTGCAGAATTCAGCTAACACCCATGATGAAGTCGGTTTCACAGTCAATCGGAGATAATCAAATCATAATCTGATGTAAAATGCGAATATTTGCCAATTTAGGGAATGTTAGTTAGATAAAGGAATAGAACCATGGATATGTCAAGTAATTAGATCTCAATGTCAAATAAATGTTAAAGTCAATGTGAGGAAACAGAACTCCTTCAGTGAGGCTCCTTTGAAATCAATTAGACGATTTTACTCTTCAGATTTCAACGGCAGATCCTAAAGACCAGCATCAGTTGGACAGTGAAATCAATACAGAAACATTATCAAGACTGAGGGCGAAAAAGAGTCAGCATCAATGGGCCGTTGACACAAAGGATTTAAAGGGCAATCGATGCACGTCCAGACAAAAGGCGTGCATCAAAGTAGCTCTGGCTAAAAGACGTACTTTTGGTGCCAAGCTAAAACTAAAAGCCTGTATTTTACCAGTAAAATTATTCTGAGTGAGTATACACTTTCTCAGCAGTGCTTTGAAGCACATTCAGACAGTTAAAAGCGTGTTCTCTTTGTAGTTCCTTAGCACTTTGCTGTGCTATCATCCTTTTCACAGCAATTCAACATCTAGTAGGTGTATATAATATTCTTTACTGATACATGCAGGTCAAAAGGCAAATAACACCTTTCATGTTAGGGCTGCAACACCAAATGGAAATGTGAGCACTGTTATCAACCATGAGTATTAGTTTTAGAGAAGAATATGACAGGGCAGCATTTTACAAACCAATAAAGGGGTTTAAATACATCCAACATGTAGTCAGCTCAGAAACAAAGACAATGTTTTCTTGATGTTTTAATGACAAAATTGCTGTGAACAATCAGAACGCTATCCAGTCTTTATGCTGCTTTGAAGTGCATTACTGCCTGATCCAATTTTTGCAAATCTACCTACAGTCATCTATTCCCATCCGTCCCATGGCTCATCCACCACCCAGTGTTCCTGCTTCATCTCTGACTCAGTGAACCCGCTCCACTGCGTCTGATGAGTCACGAGTTGACTCTTCTTACACCTCTCCATCCTTGTCTTGCTTTGTGCTCTGCCTACCTCCCCCAGTTCCTCAATCATTATAACAGTAAAAGCCACACTAGCACGCAGGGGAGGAACAGACGTTAGTACAAAAGGCCTTTCTCAGCCAGCGTGTATTTCTAGTATTCTCTGCAAAGTCAGGCATTCAGCAGCCTCCTCTGCAGGGTCTTCTTACATTCCTGTCAATTATGCGATAATCAGGTCTACTGATCACATACAGAACTACTTAAAGAGGGGGCCATTCAACCATTAAAACAAAAAGATTGTTAAAGACATAAACCTCAGACAGTATAACACTGAGGTATGGGTTAGGCCGTTCTGACAGATAAAGCACTGACTGCATAAAAAACAACAAAAAAAACGCTTTGGATTAGGTATAGAAGACCAGTCCTAGAAGTCCAATTTGTTCATGGACAAACAAATATTTAAAAAATAACGAAGTTCAAAAGCTAACATACTAAAAGGTATCACAACCAATAGGGGCTTTTGTTTGACTTGTATTGGGCACTGCTCTGGGTTTGTATGTGGTTCACTGTGTTGTTTTAAAAACCAGTGCGAGGGTCAACTTTGGGAACAGGCCTTTTTAATTATTATCTTTTACCAGAGACTCTCAGTCTTATTTAAATGAATGAGGGGCCTGAGTTTCCTTTGAATATATCATTCATTTTGAAAGAACATGTTGTACATTTTGAAGTTAAATGCAGCAAAAAAGCAACATTTCTAAGCGAACCTAGAGCTAGCACAGAGATCCTCCCACACTGAGGGGCTGTGCCTGAAATACCAACCAGGGCCACAGTGCACCACAGTAAAGATAAAGGTGTGGTCGATTTAAAACACAAAACTAACCAAAGAGAATCATTGCAAAATGAAAAATTGGCACAATACCTCAGTTATCTTGTTTTTGTATTGTTGAGAGAGCCAAAAGTATTAATGAAAATAGCATTTAATGAATTGCCCGCCCAGTCTTGCACGCAGGTTGGATGACACATGGCTTTGGAATTGAGGATCAAGAATGATTAACTAATTATATTAGGAGAGAAATTATTCTCAGTATTCATGTTCATTCGTCCAAAGGCTTTAGCAAAATCCAGCCTCTGCCTGGAACTCGGGGGTTCTAAGTGAAGCCATCCATAAATATGATTTTTTGGTCTGATTATTCTTTTATTTGGTCTATTGACTACAAATCCTGGCACTGACAACACAAGAATCTGTTTAAGGGCGATGGAAGTGAAGGGAAGTGGACAGAAAGTACCAACACAGACTAACAAAAGGCTGTTGTCACTGTGGGCCTGTAACATCAGCCATTCCTGTGAACCCACTCTGATGCGTTTGATATAATGTCACATAGCTCTCCTTCAAAAACACAAACAATGACTTGTTTTTTGAGGAATTGACAGATTGTGCCCCATAATACCTCTATTGTGACACGATAAAATCATTAAATCTAATCTTTTTTATAAAATGTTCCATTAATAATCTGTACGCACAGGGAGAATAAGGTTGGAAGGTTGTCGCTACGTGCTATGGTTACTTCCTACAATGTGCTAAAAGTGTAATAATTAAAACTGTGTAATATCACAGGAAATATTAGGCGCTTTCACACCGGAGTACTTTTCCCCGTACTTTTCCGTTTTAGGTCCGATAGTTCCTGGGATTTTGCGTTCAAACCAAAAAGAGAACTTAGTTCATGACAACTTTTCCCCCCTTTTCAGTCCCTGCTTGAGAACAGGTACTTTCCTGGGGAGAAAAAGTTCCAATTTCTGATCGGTTGGGCGAATTGCGAACCACGCCCCGTAAAACTTGGAAAGGTTTTGTGAAGACGCCATTGTATTTGCTGGCATTACCATTATTAGCATTAGCATTAGCCCTGTGCACCAACGGGGAGAGAATAACTTATGGCAACACAAAAAAAAACATGGGAGCGGTGGAGTGATGAGGAGGTGTCGGCGTTCTGGAGATTTACTCTGACTTACAGTCCCAAACTCCGGGGACTTGCAGCCGGGGACTACGGGTGGCAGTATACGCCGTGAAGTTGTTTGCGGCCTGCCAGTAAACCCAAAGCAGAAGAAGAAGAAGTGACATTTTGCGTAATATTCCCTCAGGGACTTATTCCGGTGTGAACGCGATCTGCTCTTTAGTTCCATGGGGGAATTAGTGCTGGGAACTAAGTTCTGGGAACTAAGTGCTGGGAACTAAGTACGGCAAATTACTTGGTGTGAAAGCGGCTATTATGACAATAGTGAAGATGTGGGAGGCTACAGGTTCCTCAAATGAAAGATACATGTGTTGGGTAAATGTGCTGTGGACTAGAATCCACATTCCAAGGAAAAATATGAAATTCCTGTACACACTTATCACCTCTGCATCTGTTTATTTAAAAAGAGTCAACGTTTAGGCTACAAGGACCTTCCTCAAGACAACGATAACGTGAAACTATTGTTTCAATAGAGCAGACGAAAACAGTTTGTAGATTGCTTTTAGGGAAATTACAATAGAGCCAATGTTCACCTCACATGTCAAGGCATTTGAATAGCAAAGCGACATGGAGATAAAAAAAACACATTATAAAGTGTTTTTCAATGCCGTAAAAATCTGACTTCTTTATTTATCCATATCAAAAAATCAATAAAAGAAAGATGCTATGTGGATCACTGGCTAACGTTTACAGTGCTGCTGCCAACATGGGGCAGTCAGTGATTTGTGTCTAGGATGGCTGAGCTTTTGTCTGGCAGGAGGGCTTACGTAACAGGAGCTGCTGACAACACGTGGGTGCTGAGCTGAGGCTGGGAGAATGGCCTGGATCACTGAGAGAGACAGAGAGGTCACCGCTGCCCACTGTGTCAGCCCCACGGTGGGCTGAGAGGGTCAATGTACCGCCGGGACTGGGAACACAAGTTTGTTTTGCTAGCCCTCAGATCATTTATGAAGAAGATATGTTCACAGTCTTCTTGTGGAATGCATGTCTTCAGATTAGAGATGTGACCTATGTTCATAACTGGAGAAACAGCTGCTGTTGACTGATCAAAGATGAACTACTTTGAGTTTAGAGACATCATCATTTTCCAAGGAAATTCAACAAACATAAGTATCAAGCCAGACAGAAAAGCAACAATGGTCTATCATTGTGACAATTCATTTGTCCACCTTTTAACCCTAACCCTAACCCCTAACCCTTTTAACCCTAACCCTAACCCCTAACCCTTTTAACCCTAACCCTAACCCCTAACCTTTTTAACCCTAACCCTAAGAATTGTATGTACAAATGTAATCCTAATGACCTTAACTTGGTCAACACAAAGGGACATAAAGATATTCTTATTTTTCTAAATATTACA